CAGGCTGATCTCTGTGAGTTCGAGACCAGCCTGGTCTACTGGTCTACAGAGCTAGTTCCAGGACAGGCTCCAAAGCCACAGAGAAACCTTGTCTCGAAAAACCACACACACAAAAAAAAAGCTCAACATCCTTAGCCATCAGAAAAATGCACATCAAAACAACTTTAAGATTCCATCTTACACCTGAAAGAATGGCCAAGATCAAAAACACTGATGACAGCTCATGCTGGAGAGGTTGGGAAAAGGGAACACTCCTGCATTGCTGGTGGGAATGCAAGCTGGTACAGCCCCTTTGGATGTCAGAAAATTAGGAAACAACCTTCCTCAAGACCCAATAATACCACTTTTGGGTATATATCCAAAGGATGTTCAATTGTGCCACAAGGACATGTACTCAACTATGTTCAGAGCAGCTTTGTTTGTCATAGCCAGAACCTGGAAACAACGTAAATACCCCTCTATCAAACAATGGATAAGGAAAATGTGGTACATTTACACAATGGAGTACTACACAGCAGAAAAAATGATGACAGCTTGAGTTTTGCAGGAAAATGGATGGAGCTAGAAATTTTTTTTTTGGTTTTTCTAGACAGGGTTTCTCTGTAGCCTTGGTGCCTGTCCCGGAACTAGCTCTTGTAGACCAGGCTGGCCTTGAACTCCCCGAGATCCGCCAGCCTCTGCCTCCCGAGTGCTGGGATTAAAGGCGTGTGCCACCACCGACCGGCTTGAAAACATTATTTTGAGTGAGGTAACCCAGACACAGAAAGACAATTATCACATGTACTCACTCATAGGTGGTTTTTAAACATAAATCAAAGGAAGCCAGCCTACAAACCACAATCCCAGAGAATTTAGACAACAATATGGATACTAAGAGAGACTCACATAGATCTAATCTACATGGGAAGTAGAAAGTAGAAAAAGACAAGATTCTCCTGAGTAAATTGGGAGCATGGGCACCTTGGGGGAGGGTTGAAGGGGGAGGGGGGAGACAGGGAAGGGAGCAGAGAAAAATGTAGAGCTCAATAAATATCAATAAAACAACCAAAAAAAGAAAAAAATATTGTTGTCAAAAATCAAGCATTATATCTCAGAGTATTGAATCAACATTAAACACACACACTCACACACATACACACACACACACACACACACACATCCTAGCCCCCAGCTCCAAGTAATCTGCAAGTCCACCTTCCCTCACCAGCCTCTGCGGGACCCCCACTGAGTGCCTACTGCTATAGAAACACTTCTGTCTCCTCAGGGTCCCTCTAGAAAAGATAGTCCTACCCATTCCCATTTGAAGTACAATTAATACAAACTCAGAGACCGGTATTGGGATTCAACTTGAAGAAGAAAAGCAAAGCAACCAGCCTCTGGCTTTTACCTTGACCTCAGTCCGAAAATGGTGGTTCTGTCTCCAGCAAACCTCAAAATCAACTGAGAGCTGACCCTTCCCATTTTGTAATTCTCTCTAGTTCTGGGATTAAGAGCATGCACCTAGTTTCTGTGGCAACTAGTGTGGCTCCTGGGATTACAGGTGTGTGCCATTGCTGCCTGGTCTATAAGGCTGGCCAGTGTGGCTGTTTTACTTTTCTGATCTTCAGGACAGCTTTATTTATTAAAAATACAGATGAAATGCCACTACACCCATTCACAGAGAGCTTGCTGTAACTTGGGTGGCAGGTGTCTCTGGTGTCAGGACAATAGCCCGCCTTTTGACCAGGGTCAAATGAAGAGGTGCAGTATGGGCCTCCCCTGCCTGGCCCATTTTAGTTTTTTTTTTATGCCCAAATCCATGAAGTCTCCCAAAAACAGAGTCCCATATGTAAAAGCAAAGAGCCTTTATTCTACACAAGTTTGCAAATTTGGACTCTTCATGTGTCCAAGATATTGGAATAATCAGAGAGCCCTCAGGTTCAGTTAGAGTTGGATTTGCATAGTAGCAAAGGTGGGGGTGAGGAATTTCTAAGGTTCAGAACCCCTGATTGACATTTGTCTAGGGGTGTCCTGGTGAGTGTGTGCTGATGGGTGATCCTATCTACAATGGTTGGAACATTAGGCATTTCCTTTGGTGGGTCTGTATAAGACCCTCATCCCTTATTCTCAAAGGGACGAGAAGGAATTTCCTAGCAGAATGTTTTAAAATCAGAAACCCCAGACTAGCTTCATGTTTCCAGAAAGATAGTGGCTCCCCGCGCCCCCACTGGGGAAATTCCAAAGTACAAGGGTGCCCAGCCATCTGGGGGAGGCTGATAAAGGCGGGCTGACTCGGGGCAGGGTGGCCTTGTTGCACCCGTGCCAACCCCCCCTGACTGCCCAGAAGGGCTGCTTGTGATTTTAGCCTTTAAAAAACCCCACAGAGGGATTTGAGCTCCTCCCTGCCTCGCTGTGTGGAGTGTGGAAAGGAGTCCCGAGCTAGCCTGTATTAAGCTAACAATAAACCTTGCTTATTGCAGTCTGGGCTTCTCTGGTTTCTGGTGTCTCTCTGGGGGTCGTAATCTGGGCACAACTGTCTGTTCTTGGGTGGTGCTCAGGTAATCTTAGTTTATGGTCCTTCCTGTGGAAGACCCCTGGAGTTGGGAGACTCTCATTCCAGTCTCGGGATAACACGCCCCCTCAAGAACTCACGAGAGACCATCCTTGCTGCAATCACATGAGGCTTATTGACAGGAACCAGCGCACTGGGCCAAGACTCATATCCCACGCAGGGGTAGAGGAGTTTGACCCCAAGTAGCTGGGAGAAGGGGTATTTAAAGGAAGAAACCACAACCCAAAAGGGGTAGGGAGAGCATCGTTAGAAGATTCCTAAAATACCAGTGATAATAACTCCCCGTTTCTTAAGATTGTTCTCAAGATTATAATCTAATTTTGTGGTCAGCCAGTTTCTGGAACAAAGTCACTGAACCAGCTAACCTAGATTTTTGGCTCTACTCTTTGTGCTAGGAGGTCTCGATTTATCCTGGTCTTTCCTCTGCAACCAGGTATTGCCTCAGGGTAAGCTACTGAGACTCAGGCATCCATGAGTTTATCATGGCTGGGTCCTACATCGCCAGGCAGCTGTGTATCTTCGATCTCAGATTCCAAAGGTCCATGGTCTTTCTGTGGATCAAGGGTTTACAAAGATCACCAGGGAGACGACTGACCACAAACCCTGACCTTTGCCCTTCAGTTCACAACTCAACCCTGACGCTTCAGTTTCCCTACCCGAAGACCAAACCAACAGCTACTCTGGTTAACCATGGTTCAGATGAGGGCCAAGCCCACAAGCGCCAGGTACCCTGGAACCAGACACGGAGGGCTGCCACGGACCGACTCAGGGGAGCCACTCAGACCGTGGGAGAAGCAGGGTCTTGGTAACAGGAAGGCACAAGTTCGGCGAATGACAGACAGACACAACACACAAGAGAGTGGTTGGAATCTGCTGCGATTTTACTGAATTCATGTTTTCATTATATAGTATTCAAACAAAGAACAAATCAGAAGGTCATGTATTATCAGTTGGCACAGTATGAAAGCTTCTTTTAGTCACATCAGCAATATTTAAGAAAAGTATATAGCCGGGTGGTGGTGGCGCACACCTTTAATCCCAGCACTCGGGAGGCAGAGGCAGGCGGATCTCTGTGAGTTCGAGACCAGCCTGGTCTACAAGAGCTAGTTCCAGGACAGGCTCCAAAACCACAGAGAAACCCTGTCTC